GAAGTATTCAGTGTCTCTCTCCATCATCCGGTTCGTCCTTTTCAACACCATGGTGCAAATGAATTTTATGTCATGACCATGGCGAACTTCATGTATAACGGCCAACTCGTATGTTCGCTGCTCAATCCTCGTTTCCACTCGGGGTCAACTCCGCCTTCTCACTCCACTTCTCTCTTCTCTCCGTTAGGCCAGGAGCAAAGACTAATCAATGTAATTCCCATTGCAGGATGTTTTTGAACTATTCCACCTCGTCCAAGAAGAAGATGCTTCCCACCGATCTTCACGACCCCGAAGATCCCATGCCCTGGATGCCCTAGGCCACGGCCTTTCGGGCTCCTTTGGCGCCGCAATTTCCAATGCGGCGCTATACCCAGTTGACCTCATAATAACGCGCCTCCAGATACAGCGGCAACTCCGCAAAGACCAGTCACACCCTGGCCAGGAGGAGTATACAGGCTTCTTTGACGGCCTGCAGAAGATTTACCATCATGAGGGAGGGATAGCGGGGTTATATACGGGACTGCTGCAAGACACGGGAAAGACGATCGCGGATTCCTTCTTGTTCTTTTTGATCTATTCCTTTCTAAGAGATCGGCGGATCGCCCGGCATGCGAAGTTCAAGGGCGGCAAGAAAGTCAGTCTGCCGGCGCTGGAAGAGTTGGGAGTTGGGTTCATTGCCGGAAGTTTTACAAAGTTAGCAACGACCCCAATCGCAAATATTGTCACAAGGAAACAGGCCGCTGCGTTGATCAAGGCTTCGGAGGGAGGACTGGAAGAGTCTTCTACGATGACAGCAACGAGGACGCCCACAGCCCAAGAGATCGCCAAAGACATCCTCTCGGAAAAGGGCCCTATGGGATTTTGGTCCGGCTACTCGGCGAGTCTGGTTCTCACACTGAACCCAACCATTACGTTCTTCCTATTTGAAACGCTCAAGAAGATTCTTCTACACAGCGATAAAAGGCACAACCCACCACCGAGCCTCACATTCTTACTTTCGGCTATCAGCAAAGCCTCTGCATCGTCAATCACATACCCTTTCAGCCTCGCGAAATCGCGCCTACAAGCAGGCGGGGCTTCCACGCAACGGGAAGATCAGGACGAAAAAGAAATTATGAGTGAAGACTTCAAACACGAAGAAACAAGAAAAGCCGCGCGGGCCACAATCTTCAGCACACTCCTCACCATTGCACAAACTGAAGGTGTTAGCGCTCTTTACGAGGGATTACAGGTCGAGGCACTAAGGGCCTTCTTCTCCCACGGAATCACCATGCTTGTGAAGCAGATCATCCAACGCTTCCTCGTCAAGGCCTACTACCTCGTCTCCATCATTCTCGGACGCTACAAGAAGCGCCGTAGCGCAAGTGCAAAACGATTGGCAGAGAAAGCAAAAGCCAGCGTCGAGTACTACAATCTTGCAATGGCGCGGGCGTCCGAGAAGATTGAGGAAGCGGCAGAGAAAGTAAAGGAAAGCGTGGGGAAAAAAGCGAACGAGACAGCAGAATTTGTGGGAGAGTACGTGGAGGAGGATTCCGAGTTAGGGGAGAAGTGGAAGGAGTTGTACGGAACAACAGGGTTGGCTCGGTGGTTCGACAAGGTGAGTGACGAGAGATGAGACGTCCTCTTACCTGCCTCATTGCAGAGGGACTTGCCAGCCTAGATGAGGAGGGTCTTCAGAGCAATGTATAACGGCAGAGCGTCGGTGGATGGAATGCGAACATGGAGCGGTTTGGTGCCTGTGACTTGACACGGGGACGCGGTCGTGCCGGATCCTATACCATGGATGAAAACAATCTTTTCCAGTTCAGCGATACTTGACCTTTTGGCCACCTCTTTTTTCCATCTTTGTCTGCCTCTTACTCTGTGCCACATCGTCCCCCTCTCCGCCTCCCCCCGCCAGTCCTCCCATCATCCCCTTGACACCCCTCGCGGCACCAACAACGCAATATACGGCATATGCAGGAACGATCAAATAGACCCACCATCCACGATTCCCCACAATCATTACTAGGATGAGATTGATCCAGGTCCAGTACACAATGTCCCACATAAACTCGGTCAGGCCTTTCGCATCTAGATCCTCTCCTGCCTTTTTCAGGTCCCCGTTGGCATGATATGTCGGACGCGCGAGGATGTCTAGATATACTTCGAGGAGGAATGCAGGAGCGCTTAAAGGGAGATAAAGCCATAGGGATAGAGAGCGGCGGAGCGTGAATTTCAGGAGGAGGAACAGTGAGTGTATTGAGAGGGTGATGAGATGCGTCTGTCGGAGGCGGGCAGTGTTGCGGGTGGCGAGAGATTTGGCTGCTTTCTATGCAAAAACCACAGTCAGTGAGATCAACCCGATGGCGAGGAAGTGCAACCTACCTGAGCCATGATTGAGACAAAAACGAGCAGTTGGGTGGCAGGGGGGAGGGAGAATGCCTGCGCTTGAAAAGGATGGTGCTCAATGCGAGCGGAAAGCGACTCGCCGGGGCAGAATGGCTTACTGCTGGCCAGCAGCAGATCCACGCAGGAGTAGAGCCGAGAAACAAGTGTTTTGACAGTCTAGTCTTGTGTTGGCAGTAAAGAACTCTTTGATGGACAAATGGAGAGGTCGAACTGGGCTTGACAGGGTGAAATTTCCCCGCTGCGTCTACCTCGTATTACTGGGTACATAGGGTAAGTCTGACCACCAAGTTTTGCACCAACCCCGTTTTACACCACCTAATCGAATCGCGACCGTAACAGAACAAGTCTCAATTACTCAACTAACACTATCGTTGATGTGGAACACGTGTGTGAACGCCTCGATTGGGTCATTAGACGTGCCATTCCCGTTGTTTATAGACTGCCTAGTCCTCCGCGTCGTTGTCGTTGTCGCTCTCAATGTCGCCCATGCCTCTTTGGCCTGCTGTATAGTCTCGATGCTAGCAAAGGTCTCGTTGGCATTAATTGCCTTGCCTTTTTGTTTCCTGGCCTTCGATCGCTCTAGTTGAGACTCAAGCCTAGCGATTTGTTTATCCTTCTGTATATTCTCCCACTGTAAACGATCGAGTCGTTTAGCCGTTTTTCCTAGGAAGGTTCTCAGTGGCCTTGAGATCCCTTCCTGATGTGTTGCTCTGTGAACTGAATCGCTGAAATTTCGTCTATTACTAGGCGATAGATAGACATCGCTATCGAGGACTTTGCGCTTGCGAGAAGGTGGTGTTTGTGGCGTAATCTTGTTGGTTACGGCGCTAGTAAGAACGAGATTCGATCGAATTGCCTTCCGTGGATTCCATGGATAGATACCACTGGCGTTCCAGCCAGACTTGATATTGGCGACACTGAGACCTTCCTGGCTAGCTTTCTGATAGATCTGTAGAAACCTCGTTTTCTTTACTAGGCTTGCATCGTCGAACCTAGCTAGATTAGCGATCTGCGCTCGATAACGAGACTTAACTGGCGAAAAACAAGCAAGATCAAGTGGCTGAAGAATGTGACTCGAATGGGGTAGTAAGTAGTACACCACGATGTTATTTTGGTGACATTTCCACATAAACTCGTGCGTAACATGACTCTTATGGCCATCCAGTAGTAAAAGTCGATACTCGCCGCGAGTAGTCCCTTCTGTAGTTGTTTGAGGTAGAAAGATCTGATCTAGCCAGCTTAGTCCGATTTCGTTTAATGTCCAGCCGTTCGGAGAGGTTGTATATCGATAATCTGGACTAGACTCGTCGAACCAAGTAGTTTGAAGCGATTGACCTTTGAAGATGACTAGCGTCTGTAGACGTTGACCAAGGGCCGAGATTGTCTCAACGAGCGTTACCCATTCGCGTGTCTCGGGCGATTTTTGCAATGAACTGGTGGTTGTAGATGTTCCCACAACGATTTGATTGCTGCAAACGCCTAGGGCTAATCCAGATTCATCCATATTCTAGGTATGTCGAGGTTGAATTGAATATCGCTCTTTGATCGTCTGTAGATCCTGAAACCATTGTTCCAGAAGCTCAGGAAGTGTGCAATTAACGCGCTTAACACAGATCTTCCTGCCTACCTTTGAACGGATATCAGGATGTCGCTGAATAAACCGTGGTAGCCAATTAATTCCAACGCGTTCAGGGCCGCCATTTGCCTTACTAATTACACCAGCGAGATCTCGCACAGTGGAATAGCTAGGAGGATGTCCTTGTGCCTCAAGGTCGAGTATCCATCTCTTTAATAGTTCCTCCTGTATATTTGATAATATCTGCTGTGGTTCGTGGGATAACGCGGCCGATTGAGTGCCCTGTAGTCGGCGGACGAGCGTGGAGTGGTGGACATCGTTCGCGGCCGCGGCTGCGCGAATGCTAGGATATCGACGTGATTGATAGTCAGAGATTGCTTGCTGGATCCTAGCCTCTCGATTCGAGGCCATTTACGCGTGATTAAAGGCGAATTGGTTGAGTGGTAGTTGGTTGATTGAGTTGGTAGAGAGGTGGTGGGGTGGTAGAACGCGTGGTGTAAAACAGGGTTGGTGCAAAACTTGGTGGTCAGACTTAGATACACACAATATTATATATTGATGGTGCGGTGCCAGCCTCACCAGCCACAGTGTGCCGGCCCGGCCCACGCAGCCCTCGCAAACCTCGCAGCCCTCGGAGAGCATTCGCTGCCGTCTGCGTCTGCGTCTGCGTCTGCATCTGCCCTGCAAACAGAACCACAACAACACCACCACCACCACCACCAACTCTCACAAGTAACCGCCCGAATTCTATTCTATTGATACTCACACTCCCAACATCTTCACTTCACCTTCCTTCTACATCCCCCTACGGGCCTTGAGTACTTTTACTGACCAACACTGCCTTCCATGCTCTAATTAGCCATACCTGCAGCTTCAACGGTGGTGGCGCATTGTTTTGGGGAGAGCAGCCCTTTGGGAAGTTGAATCCATGACCTCTCGACCGCGTTTTCCTACGAGCCCCCGGACGTAATCGTCTCCTGAGACATATCCCTCTGCTTGTCTCAGATCGCTTGACTCGTCAGCCGATGCTGTCATGGCACCTACACAACACCATGTCGCCGCTCAGCTCCGCCAACTGATCTACTATCACCTCGACAACAACCTGCTCAAAAACGCCCTCTTCCTCGCATCCCGTCTCGTTGCCTATGAACCCCGTTCCCCCGAAGCGGCCTACTTACTCGCCTACTGTCAATTTCAATCGGGGTTTCTGAAAGCGGCATGGGACACTTCACGCGCTGCAGCTGTCAAAGGTATCCATTTGGGGTGCGCTTACGTTTTCGCTCAATCCTCTCTCGAACTCGGTCGTATCCTCGAAGGCCTCACTGCGCTTGAGAAGTGTAAACACCACTGGCAAAATAGAAACACGTGGGGTCAACATAATGAATCAAGACGACAGCACCTTCCCGATGCTGCGGCCGTCTTATGCCTCAAAGGGAAGCTGTGGAAAGCGCATAAAAATGCGGATCAGGCAGTGGAGTGCTGGGCCGCCTCTCTGAAATTGAATCCGTTCATGTGGGATGCATTCATGGGGCTATGCGACGCTGGTGCGAAGATCAGTGTGCCCAACATCTACAAGTTGAGCAATGAAATGGTAGCAGCCGCACATTCAGCCCAACAGCACAGTGCAAGGATCGAGAATGCTGCGGCAGACAAGGGCTTGGGTGCGATATCACAAGTACCATCAGATCCGTTTGTCTCGACCCAAAAGTCAAACGTGCAACAACCACCCGGAAACCCAGTGCTATGGGAGAAGCTTAACGGAAGTAAAATGAGCGTCAACACGGTCAGTGCGATTCTGGACGAGGAAGGTCTCGCTACTCCCTCAACGGAGGCCGAAGTGGAAGAGGGTGTCCTTCAAGGCGCTCCGCTCAACAATCAATACCACGAACCGCCGCCGGCACCAATAAGAAAAGCGAAGACCTTGACCGAAACACATGCGGATCCTCCTCCTAGGTGGAAGTCAGGATCTACCCGGATGAGGACAAAAGCAAAAGGGACATCGGATGATCCCACCACGGTCTTGCAAGACCCTCCACAGCCACCGCCAGCGGCACCTTCTAAGAGAACGGTGTCGGGCCAACTGGCTCCAACATCATCGCATGCTGCTCCACCAAGTATTACTGAAGGGACCAGAAGAAGTAACCGGCTGCTAAATACTACGAGGCCACCGAGTGCGAGTAGCACAGCCGGGAGCAAGATTTCATCTCTGGCGAATACGCTCGGCTTAAGGGAGGGGCGGGATATCAAGAAGGCGAAGGCCCCAGCTGCGAAGGGCAGAATAGCCAACGCCTCAACTGTGGGGAGAGTTGTGAGTGGGAATAGAACGAGAACCGGGTCGGCAGACCAAATGGACGTGGACGCGAAAGAACAGAAAAATGTTCCCAATGCAAATGCACCTCTTCCGGTACCGCCTCTGCCCACCCACAAAACACGAGCACCATCGACTGTGGACAAGGAGCTCGAAGCACTCCAAACTCTTTTGGATCTGTGTGGGAGAATTGCTTCTGCCCAGCTCTGCCTTTCCAACTTCGACTGCCAAACCGCTATTCAAATGTACAATGCCCTCCCTTCGTCCCAACGTGAGACACCTTACATCCTAAGTCAGATCGCCAAAGCATATTACGAACAAGCATCCTACAGCGAGGCCGAGAAATTCTTCATCCGCGTCCGCCAGCTTGCACCCACTCGCCTCGAAGACATGGAAGTCTACTCTACGGTCCTCTGGCACTTGAAATCAGAGATCGAACTCGCCTACCTGGCGCACGAGCTCATCGAGATTGACCGGTTATCACCTCAAGCGTGGTGCGCCGTCGGGAATTCCTTCTCACTCCAGCGCGAACACGAACAGGCATTGAAATGCTTCAAGCGCTCAACGCAACTCGACTCCCAATTCGCGTATGGATTCACGCTCCAAGGACATGAATACGTCGCCAATGAGGAATTCGAGAAAGCACTTGAAGCGTATAGAGCGGCGATCGCCGCGGATGGGAGACATTACAATGCCTGGTACGGATTAGGAAAAGTGTACGAGAAAATGGGCAAGTGGAATATTGCGGAGCAGCATTACCGAACGGCGGCGAAAATTAATCCCACGAACGCGGTGTTGATATGTTGTATCGGTCTCGTTCTCGAGAAACAGAAACATCACGAAGACGCACTGCTTATGTACACTCGCGCGTGCAGCCTGGCACCCCAATCGGCCTTGAGCCGGTTCAAGAAAGCAAGATGTCTGATGAGCCTAGGCCGGCCGAGGGAGGCGCTTGCCGAACTGATGATATTAAGGGATGTGGTGCCGGATGAGGCAAATGTGTGGTTTCTAATGGGACGACTGTACAAGACGTTGAGGGACAAAGCCAATGCGGTAAGAGCCTTTACCATGGCGCTGAACTTGGATCCGAAGGTATGTCTTTCCAGTTTTGTATTGACTCACGAACGACTAACGTGGGAGTCAGGCTGCTCAGTTCATCAAGGACGCGATGGAGAGTCTGAACGAGGATAACGACGATTATGACGAGGATGAAGATATGGACTGATGATGGTCGCGATTCTTCTTTCTCGGCCCTGAAGGCCTCCGCTTTCCGAGACATCATTGATGAGAGCCTGAAGCAAGGTACCGTCTGGCCAACAGCACCCCATTATCACCAGATTCTGCAATGTTGTATGGATTCCCAGCAAATCTCCCGATTATCATTCAAAGGATTGCCATCCACGTTTACGCAGTGAGCGCTGACTACTTATTGAGTTTACGTTATAATGTTTACCGGCAGTTCACGAACGGATGGATTCAATGGACCAAACAGTCTGCTGGAATGGGTTGAATTAAAGAGGCCAAGTCACGTTTGTGGGATACGAAAGAAGCAAAGAAGCAAAGAAAACGAATGGGTAGGATAGCTCTGTTCGGCAGTGGAAAGTAACCCTAGCCAGCAGGGCCACCGCATATCATATCGCAACAACCGTGACAGCAGCGAGGCGTGGAAGCATGCGGTGTGTCCACCCGGCGCTGTGCAGAGAGAGGACCTGTAAGGGCAGGTCTGAGCTTCTGTTTGCGCTTTCAGAAGTTCTGATGTGGATTGTTTTGCTCCAGAAAAACGCGCCTTTGAAGCTTTTTATCGAATTTCTGCGTGGGTGGGGATGCGTGGGATTGGGCATGTGTGCTTTCCGCTTTAGCGCAGCTTAGTACATGTGTCTTGCAAGGGTTGACTCGGGTGCGTTCTATGGAGCTGGGGATTTTGGCGGGTATGGATGCGTTACCAGGGCTTTTGGAAGCTTTAAGCGTCTTCTTGCATTTTACGGAGTAAGGCAATGACCATGGAGCATGGAACAGCATGGCATGGGTATCGTCTGGTCTGGTATCATATGGCAATACAATAGCATGGATTAGCATAGCGCACACGGCCACAGTCAGACACAGACACACACACACAATGCGCGAGAGAGAAGCAGTGCTATAAAGTCCCCAGACGGCTAAAGAGCTGTATAATCACCTATGTACCTATGTACTCCGCCCCGACCTCCTCACCGACCTCCCTATGCAATACGGGTGTGGAAAATAAAAGAAGTTGTAGCATATTCTACAGGCCATGGAGAGTCCTTTCGTGGTCACATTGCACTTTGATATTAATATTGAATGTTAATATCGAGATCCCTCCCTCTGTCCCTCCCCTCCTTCCTTCCCTGTTGTATCATTCAAGAAGGACCTGTGTATAGAGATCTAGACGGTGTATATATATGTGTATACCTATATCCATAGCGCGAAAGACCGACGATATATATGTGTATAGGCCCTATATTATGTAGGTAGGGAGATAGATGAATATGCGCCGGCCCAGTCCTCTGCAATCACCAGCTAACGCGTTCTGCAAGTGACACTGTAATGAGGGTTTATTTTGATACAAACACGCGTCCCACACTAGGTACATAATGTTAAACGGTACACATAATCAGTATTAACCAAAAAGACAGGAACGAGGTATCATGGGCATGGGAACACAACGCCAGAACAACCCATCCACACGGACTCCAATGTCAGCAAGACTTCGACACAGGCTGCGCAGAGATATTACCAGCGTCATTTGTAGACACCTCTCTCCTGCTCCAGCGTAGCCCGTCGTTCCAGCCGCGGTCGACGTCGACGGACTTGGACTTCGAGGTTTTCAATTGTGCAGATACGTTTTGTCAAGGGAGACGCTTGCTTCCCCTTCATTCTTCATATCGCTTCATCATGTCGTACTCGTCCATTCCTCCCCTGCGCTTTTGACGTTTTCCTCATATCCCCTCTCGACTCTCCATAATTCGATGATGCAATTACAACTCATCCTTGACGTACCTTGTCGCGCTGCTCACAGACTCACTTACAAAGCTGGCTATGCTCTCCACACTTTCACTCACAGCACTCGCTGTTCCCGTGGCGCCTTCACTGACGTCACTCACCATGGCGGCAATCTTGCTACTGGCACTTCCCACTGCTTCCATGATCTGTGAGTTGATGCTTTCCATATAACTCTGTTCAGGTCCATAGACAGCTTCTGAGACTTTGGCGGCTACGCCCTCGACAGTATCGCTTATTGCAGAAGCCGCCGCAGCCGCATTCTCGGCCACGATGGATGATGCAGACGCGTACGTATCCGCCCCAGCGCTGGTTAACGATTCAATCGTTCCCGTCGGCGTGCCGTGGATAGCAATGCTTACGGCATCCTGTGCACTCTTCGCCAAGTCAGCAAATGAGGACGATGCGGCCTCCGCGTATCCAACGGGGGTGCCATAGATAGCTCCGCTGACTGCCGCGCTGGCGGAGGCGTAACTATCGGCAACAACAGAAGATGCTTGTTCGACGGTTCCCTTTGGTGTCCCGTAGATCTGTGCGCTTCCCGCGTCGACTGCGGAGTTGAGTTGTCCGGTCACCGAATCCAAGATGGATGAGACTTCGGGAGGAGGCGTGAAGTAGGATGACGCGACAGAGGAGACGGAGGAAGCCATGGATGATGCCGAGTCATACGCTTCGCTCGCAAGACTGGAGGCCGAGCTGTAGCCCGTATAGTAGACAGAGCTGAGGCGGCTCATCACCGATTCAGTGAAATCAGGTTCTTTGCCCACTATCAGCTCCGAGACATATGACTGGATGACAACATATTGATCGTTCGCAAAGTCGGTGACCTGAGCAGAATATTCTCCCACTTGGGTAGCGAACTCTTCGTAGAATGGTTTGGGAGTGCCGTAGATTTGTTCGCTGGCTTTAGTCACAAGATCTTGCCAATGCTCAGATGCCACGCTGGAGATGGATTCAACGGAGCCGCTTGGGACACCGTAGACGGCAGCACTTGCAGCGTAGCTGGCTGCGGAGAGAGATGAAGACGCCGCAGAGACGGCTGCGTCGTATTGTGACGAGATGGAATCAAGAATGCTCTGCGCTGGAGAGCTTTCCTCGCCTAGCGCCGACGAGGCGGATTCGAGCATTTCAGACATTTGCGAGGCGGCTGCTGAGGAAGCAGCGTTATACTGTGATGATGCAACGTCCAAAACGGTCTGATAGAATGGCGCAGATGTGCCATAGATGGCAGTGCTTGCAGAGTAGGATGCCGACGATAACGAAGACGAGGCCGCGTCAACGGCACTTGAATAGGCTGCCACGGCTTCATCCAACAGCCTTTGCACTGTTGCGCCTGAGGACGATCTGAAAGAGTCCAGGCTGGAAGCAGCCGCGGACGACGCTGCCGAATATTGGGAAGCGGCTGAGTCAAGGAGACTCTGGTACGCTGGCACCGGTGTCCCATAGATTCCAACCGATACAGCACTCGACATGCTGCTCAACACAGGTGTGGGTGTTCCGTAGATTGCACTCGAAGCCACTGCAACAAAGTCATTGTACTGCTCGTGTGCCATTCCCACGGCTGCATAGTATTTCTTCCTTGCCTCTTGGAGATATCTTTCCCGAGCAGGTGTAGGGGTGGCCCCTGCAAAAAGCTTCGCCTTCGAGTACTGAGCCGAGGCTGCAGTTAGAGAGTCTTGCAAAATCGACGATGCCATAGACGATACAGACTCAAGGGGGTTTGTCTCCGGAAGTGCATTTGACGCAGAACTACGGGCAGATTCAAGTCTATTGCTCGCAGCAGCCACTGCGCCAGAATAGGCTGACTCAACCGAGGAGAACATTTGCTCATGAAGAGGTTTTGGGGTGCCGGAAATCCGCTGAGAGGCAATCGATTTTGCGGCGTTGTAATTGTCCTCGGCTCTGCTGACGGCCTCACTGTAGAGGGAGCTGGCTTGCTGAAGCAATGAATCGGTGACGGGAGCAGGTGTTCCGAAGATGACTGAGCTTGCAGCAGCCACGGCTTGCTCGTATTTTTCAGACGCGGCGCTTGCAATACTTTCTGCCTTACCTGTAGGCGCGCCGTACAAGACACTGGAAGCTGCAGCTAAAGCGCTGGTATATTGCTCGCTCGCAATAGATGTCAAGCTTTCCACTGTGCCTTGAGATGTTCCAAACATGGCTTCGGACACTGCACGAGTGAGATCTGCGTATCGATCTCCGGCTTCATTGATCACGCTTTGAATATTCTCAGAAAATGTTGAACCTTCGCTGTTGTCAAACATGTCGTCCAGGATAGGCATAGAGCCCTTCACCTCTGCCGCCATGGCACCTCCAAAGACCTTAGATACTCTAGTGGATGCCGAATCTGAGGCGGCTGAGGCGGAGCTGGCAATATCATCTGCAGCAGCGTTTGCTGAGTGGAGATCATCGGTTGATGGTGAAGCGATCGATTCGATCGATTCGATTGATAATGATGCCGCGGTCGCCGAGTCCATCACGTCTCCTGTCAAGCTTGAGCCAGTCTCTATTGCGTCAGAAAAGATGGCCTCAGCAGTTCCGGAGCCAGTTCCAATGATAGCCGACGATGCAGAACTATAGGCGTCTTCAGCAGTGGCGCTGATATCGGATCCCAGAGACTCCACAGACTCCGCGATGGAAGATTCCAACGAGGACAAGACCGATGAGAGGGCTTCACCTGTCTCGCTGGCTTTGGACGTTGCGGACTCGACGGTGCCAGTGCTTGTGCCTGCGACTGCAGAGGATGCAGACGAGACCGCTTCGGCGGCAGCATCACTCGCATGTGACAGGATAGAGCGGGCAGATTGTACAGCTTCTGAGGGTGCGCCTTGAAGGTCGGCGGCCAGGCTGGAGGCAGCTGATAACGCTTCAGCCGGCATACTTCGGGTTTCAAAATCGTCCGATGCATCGCGGGCTTTCAGCTTCCATTGGGCAACACTCTTGAGTCTACCCAGTTCTTTCGCTGCGTCTTCGGTGATTGCCATGCTTTCTTCAAGAATTTGTCGAGCTGTGGCAATTGCTTCCTCTGCCTCTGGGCTGTGCATGGCAACGTCTTTGACCTCGGTTTTCCATTCATCGAGCGTCTTTCGGACCTCATGAAACTTCTCCCAGTGTTTGTAGGTGACTCCTTCCATCCAAGCCCAGCGCATCCCGACTTCTTGGAGACCGATATCCTTAATCCCATCTAAGACCTCCAAAGTTGAGGCGGAGGCAGCTTCAAGTCTTTGTATCAAGCCTTGTTCAAAGTTCTTAGACCAGTTGCGGACATGTTTGGCACGCTCCTTGATTTCAGCGCCTGATGATCTGATTGATCCAATAATTTCTTCTGCAGCCCTTTTCACCGCCTCTGCATTCGCATCATCAGGAAGTGAAGCAACGACCGACTTTATCTTTGTTTTGACTTTCTCCAACTCATTTTGCGCGGTCTTTTCCAAAGCTTTGGCCAGTCCTCGGCCGACTCCATCAATGTCGCTCTTGACAAGACTGTGGACAAGAGAGGTGACTCGCTCTCGAAGGTCATCGCTCCCTTTATCAGCCGCCACCGCAAACTTCTTTTGCCAGCTTCTGAGATCTTCAGCTATTTGTTCTTCTGTAGCGTATACCACAGGTCGTTTCACACGTTCTTGAGCTGTCGGTTGGGTTTCTTGAGAGGTCGTCGTAGAGGACTCTGATGTGTCTTCCGAATCAAACATGGCATACACATCATCCATGATACCGGTGGTCACACTTGGAGTGGCAGAAGCAGTGAAGGCTGATTGGGTCCTATCTACTTCGTCCAGGGCGGCCTTCAATTGTCGGCTCTCTCGATACTTGGTGATCCTCTCATTGATCATGACCAGCTGAGGCCTAACATTGTCGATGTAAAGACCCTTCACAAAAGGCCAGAAAGTGCCATCCATGAAAATAACGAGGTCCGACCAGGCATGTCGCAGAAGAGGATATGCGGTGTTCAGGGCGAAGTCTTGGCAGAGACTGTATGCGTTGTGAAGATGGGGCCGGGAGTATTCCATTGCTGGGAGAAGATGTTGTTGGAATATTTGATAGGCCTGATCTCGCGCTGACGTGTAATAAGGACCAGCCATTGCAACAAACTGATCAACGTGAGGTCCCAGATTGCTCTCGTAGAATCGAGCAGCATTTTCTCGTGCCAGATTAATTTGGGGCATGATAACTTGGTCCCATTGAGCTTGAGAGTATGCCTTTGCAGCATCGATCTTCGGAGCAGCATATTTTTCATAATTGACGACAGCAATCTTGGTTGCAGGCCGCACCACCCGGCTATGAACCAGGTGTGCGTATGGCTCGGTTTTGGCAACGTAAGGAGCTGCGTACTCATCGTAATATGGTTGCAGATGTGGTTGGATATATTCCTTTGCGGTAAGGTACGGTCCACATATTCCCGGAGAGGTATCGGTAAGGGCAGTCCGCGACGAAGGACAGTTGAATAGGATGGTGAGGAGGCAGTACCAGATAGCAAGCCTGTGGAGCGATCAGAGATATCTTCAGTTGATGAAGTGACAATTTGCCATACCTCGCAGAATTGTTGAACAGCCAGGAGGCCCAGCTCCGGCGATGGTGATGGCGAGCAGGTCGCCGTGTAGGCGGTCCTACAGCATGCCCATTGGGTCTGTCTTTGACACTCTCTATAGGTCTTCCGTTCTCAGCTACTGCCATTGCAGCTGATGTGCCTTGGAGGATTGCTCCTCACGCCCACCCAGAGTGCTGGATTGTTTTGTTCTGCCAACTTTTTCAGAGCACAGATGCTCGGCCCAATGCTGATTGAGAACGGTGACGAGTCAATTGCCGGGGTTCAAACCGAACGATGCAGCAGCAACCGGGGATGCGAACAGATGACGGGGAGGGAAGGAGATTCCAGAGCAAGTCTGGTGGCGTGAGGATGATGGCCGAGGAACTGTGGCAGATGGAACGACCAGGTAAGTGTAGCTTAATTGCCGTCTTTCGAAAAATTGTGGAGGATGTCTAGAGTGAGGAGACTTGAGGCGTGCAGGCGTGCAGCTTGCAGGGGGCGGAAGTTCGAGTGTCAAGCTTGCGAGGCACCAGTTGCGGCCAATGCGTCACCCGGCACCAGAATGGCATAAAACCTGCGACGCGGGCAGTAGCAGCTTCGGTGCAGCCAGTCACCGCCAGGAAAAGGCGAAGTACGGATGGTCAACCCCTAACAACAAAGGGACCAAGGACCCAGGATGGTGGTGTAGGTGATAAACAAGAGATCACGCTGTCAGATCGACAGTTGTATCATCGATGAGGATGGACAAGATGGATTCTTGGTGAATGTTTCGTCCCAGATCAGAGGCTGCAATGATGTCAACTCTGCACATGCTCAATTCACTGACCGCCAACGGAACTGCAGGTGGCTCTTGGTGGCTCTTGGTGGTGGATGGATGTGCACGTTACGTGTGTGGGATGGTGGATTGTGGGAAATGTGGGAAATGTGGCGTTGCTGCGGGCCGGTTCTTTGACTACGACCGCGCTATGTCGTCCACCGTAGTGGTTTCGCTCAACGGCCCGACGGATAAATGGCTCTGGACCTCCCCGTACTAAGGAAGACTCCTGATGAAGATGGTGGTGTCTGGTCTGGGTTGCTCTTTTCGAAAAACAATACCGAATAAAGCTCTTCCCCCCTTGTTTAAACTCAGACGGGTACCTAATACTACGCCTGGATTTCCGGTCGCTACATTGAATCGTGCCGCATGTCTAGGTATGCAATGCAATGCCTGTCTAATCCCCTCACACTCACAAAGCCCTCTCCTTGCCTTTGCCTTTGGATACACCCTCTCTCCTACTTCTTGGCTTCGGTTCCTGGAAATTATGTAACCTCTCCCCAATCAAGTACACCTCGTCTCTAATTTTGACCCTCCAATTCTCCACTTTCCTCCTCATATATGCCCAACCCACATAACTAACCAGCATCCCCAAGAAAAGAGGATATGCAAACCGATACATTCGCATCCGTTCCGATGTGTTAGAAATCTGGAGAACGGTGATGATGACTTTCATGAAAGTCAGCGGTACAACGAGGAGTGTAAGACAAATGACCGTAGCCGGGAGAACGAAAGCGCGTAACGCGAGAAGAACATCTGCGTGGAAAACGCCGTTACGGACGATGGCGCGAAGAGCCCTGGCGGGGCGCACCGTAGGCGGGAGGGTGTGGGACAGGATGCGGAAGACCAGGCGTAGGAAGATGAGACCGATAGTCCAGGACTGGAGGATAAAAATTGTGGCAGGTGGAAAGGAAGCGATAATTGTCGTCCTTTCCACCGCAGGTGAGGTGGAGGATGGGGAGGACGAAGGATTTTGACCAAGGGCTTCGAGCAGGTCGAAGATCGGAATGTGGATGTACAACTCTGCGATCAGGGAGAGAATGAAAGGAAGGACAATCGTGGTGAAAACCACGAGGTACGCCAGGCCGAGGATATGGAGCGTCGAGGTGAGCAATTCCTTTGCAGACCATCTAAATTTCTTTTGCAGGTAGTCTCGTGCGGGTCGGGCGTAGGCGATAGTATATCCCACCGCCGCAAAAACGTGGATCCCAACGGTGAAAGCATACAGATCGTTTGGCGGGTGAGGTGACTGCGAGAGGAACCGAGTCAGTTTGCGACCAACTAATAGAGGACCGACAGTGAAGGCGACCCCGGTCGAGGCTGCGAAGAGCCACAATAGAACGACGAACGTTGCGATCCGAGTCTTGAAGTTCGGGGGAAGGTAGACTTTGGTGAACTGAGGGTTTTTCTTGCCGTGCGGGGCGAAGAGTAACTCTGGCACACCATCCACCCTCTCGTTGTCTTCTGTGACTTCGAGAAAAACTCTTCGCCCCTTTGCGATGCGCACAGAGTCAGACGCAGGCGCTCGAACATAGCGTCCATCACGTTTCGGTTCGGTCAGCGTGTCTTTGGTGAATACGTTCCACGGAAACCCTTTCGGGTGACTGAATGTTTCTTCTTTGCGCTCCTCTCCAAAGAGGAAGTTAGTCAACCTCAACCACCGAGCACATCCTCGGAACCACCACTGATAGATTGCCGAGATCTTCTTCGATGGCTCGGCCTTGCGCAGAGCGAACGGGAGGAGAAAGTTGTAAAAGATAATGTCAACGGGAAACGAAAGTCTGGGTTCCGGAGTCGACCATTGAATCGGGAGAATGCCGCCAAACCAGTCTATCGACCATACCACACCTCCCAGGCAGACAATGACCAAGCCGCCATAAACCAATGCCGAAAACGCAATTTTGCCCAGTTGTGCCGGTACAGGTCGTTCTAGAACATCGCGCACCGGATGAAACGTCGGATCATCAGGATCTCGAATAAAATACAGCACTCCTTTTCGCATAATCTTCCGACATATTGATACAAAAAGGGCGAAATGAAACATATAACAGGTTCCGATAAACCAGTGGATGAAAATTCCAGTCAAAGGCGTTCGCATCAGGAAAGCAATGCGGCTGGCGATGGTGGCGTTGGCGAACAGGGGAAGAAGTGCCATATCCAATAGCAGTCCACAGTACAAGGGAAAGACCAGCATCTCAATTCCAATAATGACAATGACTTTCATCACCCCACCTGCTTGCCGCAGCGAGTCTGCAAAATAACCCTCGACCTTCTCGTCATCTTTCAAACCAAGGACGAGATGGGCAAGCTCGAGGAACACGATTCCAGCAACGGCAAAGAACGCATAACCGAGCAGAATCGTGAGGATTCGATCTTCTGTGCCCCATTCAGTCAACGAAAGATCCATATCATCTCCACTGCTGGGTTGTGAGAAGTCTAGATCCGTAGTTAGAGAACGGAGGAGGTTCGATGCTAACTTGCCGAGCTGAGCGATATTCTCGAGCAGCCTAGGAAAGGATGTTAAGGTCTGCCAAAACGACGTGAACAGGGCGCTCAAGCTCTGGCGCTCCATGGTCAATATCGTTTGGCCCTGGATTAGCGCGGTGGTCGTCCACTGTAGTGCTGTATGTACGGATGCCTTGAAAGTGAGAAGGGCGCGATGTGACTGCACCGAAAATGTCGGCAAATCCGGCTTGAGACTGAGAACGGCCGCGGAGAGAGTCCTTTCCAAACGTATACCACTTTTTTGACTCAGGTCGAGGCTAAACCCTTCTAACATTGAAGTGTCGAGGATGCCACCAAGGCGAGGTATAACCGGAGACAAGACAACCTTCATGATTTTTACAGGCTGGTTCAGGAGGAAACCAGCAAGTCCGGCCACGAAGAAAATGATATCGACCACAATATCCGCAGTCCGAGAGAGCACAAATAGCGGGGCCCTCACCAACGTAGTGGTAGGATTTGACAGAAATAACAATGCGATCTTTCCCCATACGTAGGGACACCAGACACTAGCCGACAAGGTCACAGAAATGAGGAAAAGCGAGAAGATGACATTCTGAACCATGCCAAAGATGGGTCCTTCCATACCAAGAAGTTCGAGGATGCCATCAAGATCCTCTGCATCATCGGCGTTAGGCTCATTGAGGTCGACTCCAAAAAGAATGTTGGGCTCCCTGGGTTCTCCAGGCACAGCAGGTGGTGCCTCGATGGCAACGGGAGGCGCCAGACCCGGCGCAGCATCTCGGTTTTGGATGGGAACAAATGGAGCTTCTGCGTTGACATCTTCCACAATACGTTCCTCATCCTGATCCTCTGCACGTGGGGGATCGCCCGTCTCCCCCCGTAGCTGGTCGTCATCTTCCAAATCGATGTCCCAGAGAATCTGTGATATCTTTCCCCATAACGATGTACCTTGGCGAGAATCTTCATCATTAGGTGCAATGACTTCCTCAGACTGCAGATGATCTGCACCGTCAAAAGGGGCTTCCTGACTCTCGTCGCGGAGCGCGTTTTCCCACAGCTGCAGAGATTGATCTGCATCATTCGAATCGGGTGTCGCTATTACCGGAGCATCTGAATCAGTCCCGTGTTCATCAACATTGGATGCCAGTACTTCATCCGTTGCATTATCAAGTTCGTCAAGCACATCAAACACATCTGCAGATGACACTGTTGGACCAAACGGTTCAGGTGATTCCGGTTCTTCCTGCTTGCTTTGCTCATGCTCTGAATTTTGCATCCGTCCAGGCGTATGGGTTACGAAAATATCCTCAGGAACTGAGGAATCTTCCATTTGGATTGGTGAGGCATCGACACTGTCCACGTCAACAAGCTGAGGACTTGGAGTCGCTCTAGGCGGATAGTGAATAGCTTCACTGTCACCCGTGCCGTCTCTTCTGATCGGCTGACTCCAAAAATCATTCGTGGCCCCGCCACGCTCCTGTACAACATCAGCAACGCTTGATGAACTTTGCGATCTAACCCTCAGAATCGGTCTGTCAGCCTCACATCCTGTTCCACTGCCAAGGTTGTCGTCCGTCAGAGCCCGACGCGGTGGTGGTCTAAGAGGCAGTGGTCTTAGCGGAGCCATGTCCTCGGGAGTTATCCGACTTTTAGTGAGCTCCGCGGCGGTAACTTCTTCTGTGAGGCGATCGCCAACAAGGGGAATGCTCTGTAGGTGGAGAGGCGGTCTTTGCGTATCAGACTCCTCGGAAGCTACCTGCCTTGCGATACGATCTGTGGCGGCTAATGCTTCTTCGGAGCTAGCATCCGAACCAGGAGTGGAAAGTGGTCTCGGCTGGGCTATGTCCTCAGGAGGTATCTGCGCTGCAAGAATCTCTATGGCGGCTAATTCATCTGCAACATTATCGCCAACACGGGGAACGCGCGGTATGTTGGGAGGCAGACGTATCCCCCCGGCATCATCAGCCTGAGCGTTGTCGTCTGGGTCAGGCATGTTCAATATCGGCTGTTGGTTGATGACCCATTCCCGAATCAGAAACACCAGGATAAAAGCCGCAACCAGTAAGACACAGATCAACTGACCTTCAATCACATCGACAGTGGCGTGGTTGACCATGGGTGAAGCCGACCATGTTGATACGAATTGAACGTCTGACAGCAATGATGGAGGTCTTCTGGCCATTGAGGACAATTCCGACGTGGAATTCTGCGCATGTCCAGCTCTGTCAACATGTCTCAGACGTGGGATGAAGATTGACAGAACGAAGCGGAAGATCTTGCTAATCATGCTTTGGCCAAGGAGCAGTCGAGCAATATCAGCGAGCGAAATCTGCATGGGAGGAAAGACCAGTTTTATCTTCTCGAGGTGTTCCGGAACAGTGAAGTTGAAGGAGGCGGCGAGTGAGGCTTGAGGCGTGGCGAGAGTGCCGGTAACGTTTGGGGCTTGTTCGGACGTGACTTGCAGGTTGAACTCATCCACCCAGGCGCCGTCGGCTAGCCAGAATAAACCTCGCCATATCTGTCGGATACACCAAGGCAAACAACAGGTCCAGATCATCCCCACCAGCAAGTAACGAGACCAGCGAGCAAATTCTGTCGCCCCATGACGAGCAAGCTGGCGTAGAAAGAGGGGGAAGGGCAGAGTGGCGGGCATGGACCGATCGTAGAGTTTCGTGAAACGAAAAGAAGTCTTGCATAATTCGCAGTATTTTTTCTGAGAATGCGACAGCCATTCCATGAGGCATTCTTGATGGACGAATTTGATGCTGCCAGAGCACTTGCACGGATAGTATAGAGGTTGGGTACTGGTGCCTTCGCCACGGCAGATCCGACAGTAGTCCTGTCCTTCCTCAAGGCCCGCAGTGCCGACGGAGGTTCTGCGTGTCGCCGTGCGAGTCAGGGGAGTGCGGCGTTTCTCTTCGAAGGGATTGAGCGGCATCTTGTCTTGCACAGACGAATGTAGGACTTGGAGGATTTTCGATGGTTTGCATATCGGCCAGGTGACGAACTCAGGCCATCACAGGGGAAGTTGAGAGGAGGTGGCAACGACAGTCCCAAGGTCTTATTGTCTTTGTAGCGTATGCGATCCAGGAAAGGCGAGATCTCGCTTTTGGAAGGGCAAAAGATGGCAGATTAGTGGTGAGATGAAGAAAGGTATGGGTGCAGCGCAGTCTGGGTGGGAAATAAGTACCTACAAGTAGTGGTCAGCGGCCAGTGGCCACGACTTTCCGATGATGTCGGTATCCGGATCAGTCATGTGCTTCTCCCGATACGGTAAAGTATTTCCCCGTGGCACGCAAATATCTCCACAGGACTTGCGCGTCTCGTTCCCCACTTGTCCCCCAAGCCCCCTTAACTTCGTACATACCTCGCGAGGCTCGATACTACGAGATACATACCTAGCTAGGTGTCTCCTTCGAGTTCCAGCCTCTGATGCTGCCTTCCTCGACATCCCTTGCTTTACACCCAGTCAATATCCACTCGACGCAACCAAGCAAGAGGCTGCCCAAAGCGCATGCATGTCACATGGGAAGGACCCTGCTGCTCATCAGTGGTCAACTACCCCGCCCTCGTCTGCGATGTGGCTGGCCTTAATTCTCCCTTGCCGCATAACTATGCCACATCCGCCACAATCCGCGATGCACAGCTCCAGCTTCCACACGCAGCATGCCGAAGCAATTAAAAAGTGTGCAAGTCTAGCTGACCGTGAGGTCTATTGGTGTGGGACAAAACAGATGGTAACACACTCATATCCAGTTGATACTAATATTTGCACGTGATTTCCTGATCAAGATACGGCATTCCTTTTCCTAGTCTCATCCATCAGCACAGTGCCAGACTTTGCCAGACTAATGGGTCTGGTCGAAGCGGCGGGGAATAGGGCACTCCAAATCAAAGGCTTGATGCAAAAGCTGCGAAGCCGGCCGTTCAAAATGTGGCGAAGCAACACCATAGTGTCAACAGCTTCCCAACCCCCCCTGGGGCAGGTTCATCCAGTCGCCAAATTCCCTGCTGCAACCGTGGAGGTGGAATCTGTGCTGGTTATGGAATATATGGTCCTTGGAACCACCGCGCCAGTCGTGGCTGCGAGAATCAAGCTCTGACGCTTTCTCTGCAGGAATGCGTGCCCATTCTGTTTGATTCCCTCCTTGACACGCGAAGCGGACAGCCCTATGACTCCCTGACCGCACCCAACAGCAGTGGTTTCCAGTAGATGCAATACAAAACACCCTCGGATCTTAAATACTTTAGGATTAGTATGTTGCACAAGCTCCATCATACATAGCATCTGGATAGTACGAGAGAACATCGCCTACTCTCTCCCGCATTCAACATAATCAGTTCGAGATTCGGCCCTCAAACATAAGCCCATCTCTCTAATCAATTTTGTCAACAGGGTCAACCCACCCGACTGCATCTGGTCATACAAGGTATCCTCAGGCAGAGACAGCCATCGTTGTCTACAATGGTCGCCGCAGTGGTGATAGCCCTTGTGTGTCGAGACAGAGTGCCACAACAGCCTGCTCGGCCGAGAAGGAGGAGCAAACGATGAGTATATTGAAGGAGAGATGCTGACTTCCATCGAGGTCATCTTCCATGTATACTACTACCATGTATGTACAAGTGTTTTCCCACATCTTGGCCCGACGAAGAAATGTCGAATGTGATTGCGCAGTCTTGGTCCTCGGCTCAGCCAGGGCATGGATCCGGGCTTGAGCAGACATCAGCGTGTGGACCCATGGAAGATGGCATCACAAGCATGTTGTATATATCACGAGAACTAGAGGGATATTGTCACCAATGGCCGAAGTCATGCGGTCAAAGGGAATGAGCAGCCCACCGCAATCCGTGTCGAAGAATCGCCCTTTTTAGCCCAGCAATAGACATATGCGGAAGTTTATAGGTGACCACACTGGTTTCAACTTGTCGTCACCACGACACAACTCACACTCGGCTCTAAGACCATGATACTACTCCTCCTACTATCGCCCTACCCTATGGAATCGATTGCAGATTGGAGCCATGATAGAACAACAGGTGCAGGCCTTACTACTAATTCCGAATCAAGGCCAGATCAGGGTTAGATTGGATTAGACAGGAGAAGGATGGGTATAGGGATGCAAGTACTACAAAAGGTCTTAATAAGCACTCTCTGAATTCTACTATACTAGTATCCTCCTTCTACCTCTCATGTGGCGTGTAGCGTGTGGATGTTGGGGCGCGCACTTGATGTGCACAATACTAGTACTACGTAGTACGCCAAGGGATCATCACATCAATCCACAATCAATCCTAGGATCGACCGTGTATCTGATGAAGAACAGCACCCGCCTTGGACGAAATTTCAAGTTAGTGTCATGAGAGTTTGATAGAGAGACTCGGGAACTCCATAAGTCTGGAGGCTGTGTAGGAACGAGATTAGCACAGGATTGCTTCAACGTCAGAGGTAGTAGCTAAAAGCCGCCACGTCGAGATCTATCTGGATGAAATCTGAAATCTGAGTCCCTGTGTATACTAGTACATCAAGCACCCCAGCTCCCCCTCCACGCCACATCCAACTCCGACCCCTCACCAGCCAGCTTCCTTTTTTTCCTCGCAATCCCGTCTCTTACGCATTCGGCCACATCCTCGGGGTTCGCGCCCCGTTTGCGCCTCTCGACCCGCTCTTCACCCAGGACTGTCTCATTCGCAACCAAGTTGTATATCTCCGCTATGCCCTCAAAGACGCCAGACAGGTGCTTGCCATTGCTGGGGACGATGGTGTTGTTCGGGGTTTGGTGGTCGTGACTGCCTCCGCTGGAGCAAAGGACGGCGTTGGTGAATCCACCTTCTTCGCTGAAGGTTTCGTTGATCTGCCGCATTTCTTCCACCCAGCGGTACGCTTTGGGCGGCATGCTCACCAAACCTCCCTGGGCGATTGCCAATAATTGTGGGGAGAATTCTTGCAAATGAGCCTGCAATTCCTTGAGCACGCCGCACGTGTGTGCCGTCGTGAATGACAAGATGGAAAGCGCCGTCATGCCCTTCGTCAAGGAGGCGAAGCAGGATTTCAAGGCCGAGGCCGTGCCAATTTTGGGGCCGAGAATTTTCATGTTCAAGAGATCGACGAACGCTGGAGTCAGGAGTTCCGCATGTTTTGGCCCGGAAATGACGACTGAGGGCTTTTTCCAGGAGTGATCCTGTCTGAGTGACGGAGGGCCCCCAATGATGCCACCGTCGAGGAAGTCAATTGATATGGGTTCTAGCTCTGGCTCGGATTCTTTTCTTGGGTGGAAGGTGAAAGTGCGCGATATGGATAGTCGTCGAGGTGATGCGGGAGTCATTGGTGTCGAGAACATGGCGGCGATGGATCTGGCGGTTTTTGGACTGATAGCGTTCAAATCGATATATGTTAGACTTGGTGCCTGTGAGACAGCAATGGTGCCTCTTCTTTCACTGCGCCTTTTGATTGCGGTTTGCGAGCGGCAAGCTTCAAGAGCCCGTCGCGCTGTTGCTATTGCGTCTCTCGGCGGCACGATGCTTAAAATGATGTCGGCTTCAGCAACTAGCTGTTCATCTGACTCCAAGATCGTTATCTGCGAAGCCTTGATCCGGTCAAGAGTGTGCTGACTTGAAAGTGAAGGCAGCTCAGCAAAGAGTTCAATACTAGTACTATCATCTCGACGAAGATCTGAAAGAACTTGCCTTCTGCCCGTGGCGACCGTATAGACCATGTGATCGTGATGGCGAAGCAGCCGGGCAACCCCATTGCCCATGTCACCGATGGAAAGGATGCCTACAGTGGGTTTCATCTGCGCTGATGAGGTCGCCATTATTCTTCGGAGCGAGAAGGGATGGGGAAAGGAGAGGAAAGTTCGAGTTCTACAGACCAGGAGTCTTGCAACGTCCATGAAGGCATGGTGAGACCAAGTCAAACGCGGCACCTGACTGCATCATTAGGGTTTAGCTGTTCGGACAGTTGCGACCATGGCTGTTCCCGCCACAGGGCGGGGCACTGACATCAGTGCTAGGCGAATGTCTCAGAACACATGCGCGCCAAGCCACACAGAAGGGTGCAGCCCAGCCCAAAAAATAGTTTGAAAAAAATATTTCCAAAAAAGTAAGGTCTTCCTTAGGAATTGAGCCGCTTTGAGGCATGTTAGCTGGATTCAATGAATCTTTGACCGAGGTGTAGGCACTCACAAGGCGGGACTGTGCAATGTTAATCTTTCTAGGACAGGTTGTTTTCGAGTGAGGGTGAAATACCTCGAACCCGCAACCTTGAGGTTGGATCTTTTCTAAGAGCCACACGCTCTACCGATTCTGATGTGACTGTTAGCGGGCTGGTCAGGACCAGATGCCTTAGAAGGTCACTTACGAGCTACTGTAGAGGTTGTTAGAACCCAGTACTGAGTGAGTGGTTCGGTTGGTAATGACTTACCCCCGGCAGTGCTGGGTGATTGTTGAAGAAAAGTCTGCTACTTTTAAACATATAATGCAATTTTTAAACTGGTGGGGCGGAATGCGCGGGGCCACGGTTGCAAGTGCGAAGTCATCATCCGTCCCACTGGGCATCGAGTGCTATGCTGCTACTGTACTACTATTAACACCACCTTTAAAACCTGAACTTTTCACACATTCGCATGACTCTTTCTGAAGCTCGGATTGCTCCCGGGTAGGAACTCTAAGGTTCCTCCTTTATTATACGAAGTATCGAGCTGGTTACCCGCTCTACATACTAGCAGGGAACCAACAGCCTCCGCCCACTAGTAAGCTAGACATGCAATAATCCGAAGAAAACCTGCACTATGGTAACTCAGAGCCTGCAGTTGGTGTTGATGCGTTTCAGACCCTCAGTATTGTAAGGGAAGCATGGAATATCGGTGCTAGCAGGCGATTTCCGATGTCATATCGAGTTCATAATTTCAGAAGGATGCTCCTGCACACGGGAGAAGCTGCAAGTAGTGCTATTAAGACTAAGTAGGAGACCACCCTCATAGTACCTCCGTAGAGGCAATGGGCATGACAATCTCGTGAGGACCTCGTGCATCCATACAGCAGCGCCTTTCTGTCAACCTGTTCTTCTCCCTTGCACCAAATAACACAGCGGAAACTGTTATTGTGATGGAGTCACATATTAAGGTACTGTAATGGGAGAAGTTTGAAGTGGTGGATAGCGTTATGATTGGCTGGGGCGCCGACCCTAGACTACTGTTCTTCTTATATAGTCCTCGGGGACTATCCTTCATAGAATTGATAATCAATCAAGTTACCAACAGAGAAGACTTCCTTGGTTTGAGTGTGCGTGTTGGGAAGAGGCTATGCCCACCGCCGTACGAGTTGATGCCCATGGCTAGTAGCCTCGCCCCAGTTCAGTACTACACTACATAGTATGGACGATTTTTACAAGGTGATTGCGAATTCTCTGCGCAACGGAAATTCCGAGCCGTCGGGAGGAAAATTTATGAGTCTACGGATCGGAAAAAAGGCCTCAATTCCAATGGCAATGATTTCGCTCTCCACCCGAGGGTCAATTCGCGGCCTTCTTCCGTCCCTGCATGCGAGAACTACATACATTCCTCCAATAGGGTGTGTTGCGATGACCACTTAACTGGTGATGTCGAGATGCTTTTCGCTTCTTTTCGACTTTCTTGGACACTTCAAAGCCAGCATTTCTAGGATCAAAGTGTGAGTAGTTGGCACTGATTTTACAAATTCCTTCAACAATCATGGCGAGCAACCCTACGCCAATAACCGTAGTGCACAACAGTGGCAGTGGCAGTTCGACCTTGAAGGACTATGATCTATCCCAACCCATCACCTCAACCTCTGGCCTTCGCTCTGGGCTCACTTCGTATGGCGACGCTCATTTCTCGCTATTCCTTAGAAAAGTCTTCATCAAAGCGCTGGGATATTCGGACTCGGCACTCTCCTCACCCATCATCGGCGTCATCAACACGTACTCTTCATTCAATCCCTGTCATTCCAATGTACCGCAACTCATCGAATCAGTCAAGCGTGGCGTCTTAGCCTCAGGAGGGCTCCCGGTCGATTTTCCGACCATCAGTATCCACGAGAGCTTTGCCAGTCCGACCAGCATGTATCTGAGGAATTTGATGAGTATGGACACAGAGGAGATGATCAAAGCTCAGCCGGTAGATGCAGTGGTCATGATAGGTGGGTGTGATAAGACAGTTCCAGCGCAGTTGATGGGCGGTGTCTCCGCAAATAAGCCTGTCATACCTCTCATCACAGGGCCAATGATGCCAGGCTCGGTAGAAGGGGTCAGAGTAGGAGCTTGTACGGACTGTCGAAGCTATTGGGCGCGATATCGGGCCGGTGGTGTCGACTTGGAAGACATCATGTCTGTCAATGAGGAGTTGGCACCCACAGGAGGGACATGTGGAGTGATGGGCACCGCATCTACTATGGCTTGCATAACTGCAGGCCTGGGACTGCTTGAGCTTAAATCAGGCGCTACAGCCGCTGCTGTGAGCTCTGCGAGACTGAGAGTCGCAGAGCAAGCTGGACGTAATGCGGTGGCGATGCTTACAAAGGATGGAATGAGACCACAAGATCTGCTTACCCGAGAGAGCTTCCTCAATGCCATCACGGTTCTTCAAGCCATTGGAGGAAGCACGAATGCTGTGGTGCATCTACTGGCCATTATCAACCGACACCCGAAGGTGGCAGGCACCATTGACCTCAATACCTTTGACGAGATCGGAAGAAGGACTCCGCTGTTGGTCGACCTGAAACCCAGCGGTGACAATTACATGACCGACTTTCACAACGCAGGTGGCATGTTGGCATTGATGCATACCTTGAGGCCATTGCTACATCTTAGTGCAAAGACTTATTCTGGCCAGACTCTTGGCGAGCTCCTCGACACCACTCCCTTCAAGTCGTTTCAGTATTCGAGACAGATCGTCCGGTCTCTCGAGGACCCCCTCTACCCTAGCTCAAGTCTGGTCGTCTTGTACGGCAACATCTGTCCACAAGGGGCGGTCATGAAAGCCTCGGCCTCAAAGAACCGGAGACTGCTGCACCACCGTGGCTCGGCGTGCGTTTTTGAGAACACTGCAGACATGGCAAAACGCATCGACTCTCCGGACCTGGAAGTTGATGCGAACTCGGTGTTGATACTCAAGAGCATAGGTCCAGTAGGCAATCCGGGAATGCCCGAGGCTGGACTGATACCTATTCCGCAAAAACTAGCTAAACAAGGTGTGGTCGACATGTTGCGAATCAGCGATGGGCGAATGAGCGGCACTGCTGGTGGGACGATTATACTACATATATCACCGGAGTCTGCAGATCTTGACTCTGTGTTTGGCATCGTTCAGACAGGAGATAAGATCACTTGCGACGTCGAGAACAGGAAACTGTTCCTAGACGTAGGAGAGCAGGAGATCGCTAGACGTATAGCCGAGCGCAAAATGCGATCCCTGGACACTTCATCTTCTGGAAAAGCTAACGAACAGATGTCGAACAACCAAGAACCGTGGGTGGAGAGGACTGGTCGGAGGGGGTATCGAGGCCTCTACGAACGTGAGGTCAATCAGGCGCACCTTGGTTGCGACTTTGGCTTCCTAACAGCCCAGGGCCCCTCAGGCAACTGATATCTTCGACTGCTGTGAGTGTTCTGGGCCTTTGTGGGATTGTTAGTCAACGCCCTTGCCACCGCTGTAGCTGCAGGGGGAACAACTCCTGCTATTACGCCTTGGGGTTGCAGCTGGAGTGCATCTGGGCGCCCAGCTGACCTCCGCGGCTTTTCCGACTCTTCATGGACGTTATTATTGTCTTGCTCAATGACCCGTGGAGTCTCTTGTTGCGTAGTTCTGCGTAAACCGTTCGGAGTCAGGCCAGCAGAGCTTTTGCCCCAACGGGCAATTGCTGGCTCGAATCAAAAGGGAACATTCCTCATGCTGCTAGTCATTTTGCCGGCTCGCTAGCAGAGGGGGCCCATAGGATGATACGTATCCACAGACGCGACTTTGACTGGATCATCGGGTATCATCTCCTGCAGCCTGATGTTTATTCGGTTCCAGAGGAAATGCAACACTTTCAGCTTCGCATCGAGTGATTATGCGTCCTGGCCAGCATGGTCTGTAGTCCACCACAACGGTCGTGCGGGAGGTGTCAAATCGATCCATATATTGTTCCTGCTCAGGGGCGAAGAGGACTATATTGACTGGCAGACCGATAGCAGATAGACTCTTTGACTGAGCCAGAATTGTCTGGCCGAATACGGGCTGAGAACCTGTGATTGTGATTGTGATTGGGCTGTGTCTCCAAGTCCGGAGAGGAGGGTTGATATTTGCCACCAGGCCTCGCAGCGCAACACATAACATATTCCCAATCCAGCTTTAGGGCGAAACCGGATGCCTGACCAGGGGTGACTGTGCCATCTCGTGAAGGTGCGAACAGCTGACGTTCTTGTCAAACTACTCAAACTGGCCATGTGGTTGCCAGGTTTGACAATCCAGAGAAAAGTTCACGAACCGGCAACTTGGAGCTGTTGCCGTTTCAGGAAGTATAGGAATCCGAGGGCGTCGTGACATGGCGACATGGATGTGGGCCATTTGGTCCAGGGTGATGCAGCGCACGCACCAGACGGTAGTGGGTGGCTTGAGAGGGCAAATGTGGTAAGGTCACACGCGTTACCACAGCAGGGCCCGACCGCGGCCTTGAGTCGATGGACTTTCGCTATTTGAGGAGAGCTGTTGAGCTGTCCACGGAATGGATGCCAAACACAGGCACTTATTACAGGTTTCCAATCAACATGTTGCCGTCTAGTGAGAAACCGCCAGAGGTTGTTATCTTGCACTCTGGCGGATCGAATCCTTTGCTTGGCTCCCTGGCACTCACTCCGCGGTGTACTTTGGGCTAGCCATCAGTCTCTACTTGCCAAAAGAGGATACAGCTTCTATCCACTACGAGGACACTGGAGCCCGGCAAGGGGGAGACACCTCTCGGCGCGAGGCTCCCCATTCTGGTGATGTTTGGTACGTACGAATAGACACGAGAGTTGAGACAAGGCAAAGCCAGTCAACTGGTGACGCAGCCCTTTTTCGATTACGTGCTGGACGCCGAATACTATTCCTTGGGTTTCCACCAGGACAGGAAGTAAGTCAGTTCCGGAAATCGATCACAGGAAGAGGACTGGACTTTCACTGGCCAAAGAACACGGATGACACGAGTGAGTGGGTGACATACGAGAGCTTCGCGTGAACACGAATTTCTGACTTCTGACGTCTGACTTCTTGACTCCTCGACCTTGCTTGTTCACCAGGAAAGAGAAGATGTGCCCTGTGTACTTGTTACAAGGTTGCCCGTAGTTCGCGAAACGTCTTCAGAACGAGACAGCAGCATCAGATCGGGAAACTCTCCAGATCAACTTCAGCACAATAATATGCACAAGCTAGCCTAGTGCTACCAAAGCAGCCCATGCAAGTACCAAGTACAGCACAAGGTAAAAAACACTCCCCTATTGCTCGGACAGAGGTGGAACTGCCACTAACGGAAGACTAGGCCGAAAATGGCGTTTCCTGCACCTCTTTACATCATGCAAATTACGCACATACCCTCAACCCCTCCCTGGTCAGGCGTCGCGGCCTACTAACAAGTACACAGAGCAACCAGGGGTGTGGGAACCTGGTAAGATGACGAGATCTAATAACGCATTGGTTCGGTGCCGGGACTGAAGAAAATGCCACGGATGCCGGGACGGGGCAACTGGACAGCGATCGTGCCGCGGTGCCATGCACCAATACCGAACAAACTCCCTTCTTATGGGCATCTATTCGTCCAAGTTCAGGAGGAGCTACCTGGGTCGTCATTGACATTCCCATCTGAAGGAGAAAGATATCAAGGGCATTTTCCACCCTGAGCTCGTCCTGGTCTGAATCCAGCCTCCTCTGGGTCCTAGTTACTCCCATCTCAACTTCATACAACACACACAAGTTATCGCCCCATTCACCAATTTGCCGACTTCTTCAGTCTCTCATTCTGGATGATCTCGACCCAGTAGTCATCCGGATCCAGCACAAACGCCACGTTCTTCATCCTGCCGTCCGTTAGTCGCTTCTTCCAGTTCACACCCTTCTCCTCCATAAATGCACAGGCCTTGTCCAGGTCATCCACACTGATGGCAATATGTCCGAAGCCCTGGGGCTGGTCATTGCCGTTGTGGTATACTTTGCCTTCTTCCTTCTCTGTTCCATAATTCCAGGTCAATTCGAGCAGACCTTCTTTCCCTGCGAGTGGGTTCACCCCGTTGGCCGTGTCCTCGGGCTTGGGAATCGCATAGTCGCCTGGGTATCCCAAGAAATATAAAGTGAACCCGGCCGCCTTTTGTTCAGAGGTTCTCATGAGCGACATGCCCATGACCTCCTGGTAAAATTTCAAAGATTTCTCTGGGTCTTTGACACGGATCATGCTGTGGTTCATCCTGTAGGTGCCCGTCTCTGTTGTCTTTATACCTTCGGTCTGATCCACCGGCTTTTGCCCGATGACTTCCACCCAGTACCCGTCAGGATCCAGGGCGAACGCGATACTCCGCATGCGCCCGTCGGTCAGTTTCTTCTGGAATTTATACCCGGCATCTTCAATACGTTGGCATGCGGCTTGGATATTGTCAACGGAGATACAGATGTGGCCGAAACCTTTGTGGGGTTCCTTATTGCCGTTGTTGATGGTGAAATCGGGGTCAGACTCGGAGCCGTAGTTGTGCGTGAGTTCGATGACGCCTTCGCGGTCGGTCCAGTGTGCATCTTTCGAGGAAGAGGAAGGACCGTTGTAGGCTGTTACCGTGCGTCAGCTCATAGTCGAGAAGCGGAAATGGGATGTTCGGAAGTTCCTACCTAGGAAATACAAACTAAATTTGTTTTCGGGGAAATCCAACTTGTTGATCAGGCTTAGACCTAGGAGGTTATAGTACTCGATGGAGCGCTGGGGATCCTTCACCCGGAGCATAGTGTGGTTGAACTTCCATTTTGAATGATCCGTCATGGTTGCAGAATGGGAGGTGGAAGTCGTGAATGATTTCGACGCGGCAGTTGTGCTTGAGGGCTGGAAGTGTTGCAGGAGTTGCTGGAGTCGAGGGAGGCGTGATGTGAGGCGCGATAGCATCGAATGTCGGGCAAGAGAGGGACACAGATACAACGCAAGGGTAAGAAGCAGTCGAGAGAAGGACAGAAAGTTCAGAGGCTCAATGCTGCTCTCGACTGCTCATTGAGATTTCTGGATGATGATGCAGGTGTTTCGCAGGATGACGTGGGGCAGCAGACTGGCTTACGAACCCTTGCGCACTTCTCCCCCTCACGGCACCGTACGGGGACGCTCCGTTTAGGCGGCTTGGGCGGTCGAACCCCGCTGTGCCCCCTGCGACCTCGAACGATGTCCGCCTTTCCACCAACCGTCGGGTGCCCGAGTTTCATCCAGTCGACTTTCCGGTGGAAGACTTGGAGAGCTGCAAGCTACCGCTGCCCCTCAAGCCTTGGGTGTCGAATCACCGAAGTCCAGTGCTTAACGCCACAATCATGAGCACCTCCAGGAGCTCCCAGCCAAGTCTAAGGGGAGCTTCCTCCACACTTTGCCTCGGCCTCCCTCCACATCACACGAAGAGATGAGTATGGGGCTCAAAAGTTGTTAAGTCTGCTTCCATGTTGTTTTATAAGTCAACCTTGCGCTGGTGAGTATAACTACATCAAAGAGTTAGCTATTGAATTGATTGTCGTCATCTCTCTTCTCTTGTTCTACTCGCCTATCGCGCGGCCCGAGATCTGTTGCCCTTACCTGCGCTGAACCTGGATCGTCGGCTGGCAGCCATGGTCCGTTCACCCGCAATTCGTGTCGCGAGGACAGCTTCGCAGCGCTCGACCTCGTTGCTGCGAGCAATTCAGTTCGGCCATCCTCCCAATTGCCCTTGTCACTCGAATCCCAACCACCATCATGCTCCTGCAGTTTTCGGCGAAGCCAGAAGGCGACTGGCGACTCCCATTGACGGCTCGCGATCCAAGGACTACGCGTTCGAGATGGCCGCCAGTTCGATCCGCTTCGGGCCTGGCTGTACAAAAGAGGTGGGCATGGATTTCAAGAACATGGGCGCCAAGCGGGTCTGTGTCGTCACGGACGGCAATGTGTCCAAGTTGAACGCCATGAAGCAGGTCGTCGAAGGGTTGTCCAAAGAAGGAATTGAGTTCACCGTCTACGATAAGTGTCGGGTTGAGCCCAAGGACAGCTCCGTCAAAGATGCCATTGCCTTTGCTAAGCCGTATCAGCCAGACGCCTTTCTGGCAGTGGGGGGAGGTTCGGTAATTGACACGGCGAAATTGATGAACCTATATACTTGCTTCCCAGACGCCGACTTCCTTGATTTTGTCAATGCTCCTCTCGGTAAGGGATTGCCAATCACGAAGCCGCTAAAACCTCTTGTGGCTGTCCCAACTACCGCTGGAACAGGATCAGAGACGACGGGAACAGCTATCTTCGACCTAGTCGAGAAGCGGGCGAAGACTGGTATTGCCCACCGGAATCTGAAACCTACACTGGGCATTTGTGACCCGCTCAACACTCGCACGATGCCATCGGCTGTTCATGCTTCCTCTGGCTTGGATGT